CCAAAAGCACAATACCCAGTAAGTCTGGCCAAAGACTCCTTTATGAAAACTATTTCAAGGAATCAAAGACAAAAATGGTGTCTATCAAAAGAATTTGTTAATACTAATATAGTATGGATGACTTTAAAATAAAAAATGCCAACTATTTCACTGTAAATAATTACCTTGGCTTGTTTACGCATTTTACTAACACTAGGTGTGGGATCATGGAGGTGGTTAGTTATTAGGTTTTCCCACTCTGAACAGCTTTCTTGTCCTTTAAAGGCATAATTCTAAGTCTTACAAGCCTTGATTCCTTGACTGGTAGATTCATATGGATGGAGAGGCTGTGAAATCTTATCTAGGAGGTCTTGAAATCAGGTGCTACAGTTACAGCTCCCTGGGATTTCAAGACATGCTAACAATACCACATTTAGAGGAGACTTTCTGCTTTCCAGGGCTTCCCTGTTAGCTCCTGGGAGTTCGATTCCTGGGTCGGGAAGATCCCCTGGAGAAGGAAATGGCAACCCACTCCATTATTCTTGCCTGGAAAATTCCATGAACAGAGGAGCCTGCCAGGCTACAGTCCATGGAGTCAAACACGACTGAGTGACTTCACTTTCTTTTCTTTCTGCTTTCCCGTCCCCACCCCTCATTTATTATTTGAACATACCTCCTCTCCCTTCTCAAATTCCCAGCCTACTCACACACACTCAGTCTCCTCTAGTATTTATTAAATACCTCAGGGAAATGGTAAGTAACTTTTAATAAAATGGTTGAGTACCACAATAATCATTATTGGGGAAAAGATCTATCGATGGATGCTAAAACTAATGGGTGAAATTTTGAAGGGAAACAAGCTGACCTGTTTCCAAGGTATCACCTCCCAAGATATTAACTCCAAGTGATCCAGGTTAACATCACCAGTAATAAGACATATGGACATTACAAACCTCTTGATACAATGCAATGAGAACTCAATGTCATTTCATTGCCCCAAATGGACAACCTCATGCAAATCTTGAGAAGACATTCAGTTCAGTTCAGTTGCTCAGTCGTGTCCGACTCTTAGCGACCCCATGAACTGCAGCACACCAGGCCTCCCTGTCCGTCACCAACTCCTGGAGTTTGCTCAAACTCATGTCCATCGAGTTGGTGATGCCATTCAGCCATCTCATCCTCTGTCATCCCCTTCTCCTTCTGCCCCCAATCCCTCCCAGCATCAGGGTTTTTTCCAATGAGTCAACTCTTCACATGAAGTGGACAAAGTATTGGAGTTTCAGCTTCAGCATCAGCTCTTCCAATGAACACCCAGGACTTATCTCCTTTAGGATGGACTGTTTGGATCTCCTTGCAGTCCAAGGGACTCTCAAGAGTCTTCTCCAACACCACAGTTCAAAAGCATCAATTCTTTGGTGATTTCTCATGATGTACTCTGCATATAAGTTAAATAAGCAGGGTGACAATATACAGCCTTGACGTACTCCTTTTCCTATTTGGAACTAGTCTGTTGTTCCATGTCCAGTTCTAACTGTTGCTTCCTGACCTGCATACAGGTTTCTCAAGAGGCAGGTCATTAGAGAAACCTAAATTGAGAGACATTATACAAAATAAACCACCAATACTCCCTCAAAAGTGTCAAGATCATGAAAGATAAGGAAAAAGAATTGTCAGAGATTAGTGGAAAAGAAAATAACTGAATGCAATGTGGGAGACCAGAGAATTCTATCTTGAACAGAAAGGGGATGTTAGAAGAAAAGGTGATGACATTTGAATATGGTCTGTATTTTGTTAGCAATAGTATAACTGTGGTAATTTAATCTTTTTAAAGGTTTTTTTTGTGGTCCATTTTAAAAGTCTTGTTGAATTTGTTACAATATTGCTTCTGCTTTATGTCTTGGCTTTTTGGCTCTCAGGCATGTGGAATTTTAGCTCCTTGGCCAGGGATTGAAATCTGCACCCCCTGCATTGGAAGGCAAAGTCCTAACACAGGGAAGTCCCCGTGTTAGTTTTATAGATTTGATTATTGTGCAGTAGATACCCAATGTGATAACCTTAAGGGAAGTTCATGAGAGAAACTGTTTTTGCAACTTTCTGTAAGTTTAAAAATAGTTCAAAATAAAAAGTTTAAAGGGCTTCCCAGGTGGTGCTAATGGTAAAGAGCCCGCCTGCCAATGCAGCAGGCATAAAAGATTTGGGTTCGATCCCTGGATCGGTAAGATTCCCTGGAGGAGTGCATTGCAACCCACTCCAGTATTCTTGCCTGGAGAATCCCATGGACAGAGGAGCCTGGCGGGCTATGGTCCATAGGGTTGCAAACAATTGGACATGACTGAAGCAACTTAGCACGCAAGCATGCAAAATGTTAAAACAAATCATTACACTCAATTTTTAACTTGTCAAAGGACTATTTTTTTTTCATTCCTTTGATCATTTTTATCATCTGACTTGAAAACTTGGTATTTTTTGGACATAATAGTCTAATGAGAATATGACTTATGCAGACTATGCAGAGAAGCACTGAAAGAAAAGAGAAAGTATTATATCAACATAAGTTTGTAGTCTCAAATTCTCACACTGCTTTTTCAAAGTTTAATTTAGACTGTGTTTGTGCATTGTACACTGGTGGTGGTGTGAACTAAGATAGTTTATGACTGGCCTGGGATTTAACTTAGAAATTCCTCTTCTGAATATTTTCCAGATTGGAGGGACTTGCTATTCACAGCTAAATGTTTAATGGTGTAGCTGGAATTTTTATACCTCAGGGACCTCAGAATCTATTGCTTGTAGACTGATTTGAATGCTTAAACCTTACAAGTTTGGCATTGTTGGTTTTCCGTATTTAAGAAGTGTTTAAAAGCAAATGAGACACAGCAAGTTGAACAAAATAAAATGGTACATGTAATCTTGAGTGTTATAATTTGTTAGCCACAAATAGGGGAAGTTATGAAGTCCTAGTCATCTCATCTAAGAGGAAGTACCAACTGCATCCATGTTTCTCTGTCTTTAACACACACAGAAATCTGTGGGTTTTGTTAAAATGCAGATTCTCAGGCAGCCACCCGCGAGGTCGGGGGATGGGCCTCCAAGATTCTGCATCTCCCAGGAGATACTCCTGATCCATGGTCAACATTGTAAGTGGCAAGGACCCTAAGTGACTGGAAAGGACAAGTTACCTAGGAGGCCTGTCTCCCTTGGCTATACATTTCCAAAGGGGATTTAATTTTAAACAAGTGAAATATTTAAGTACCTTCAGGCAGTACAACTGATAGTAAAAATGTAAGGAAATCTCGCTCATGAAACAAACTCGGGGAGGACGGGAGTGCTGCCTGCGACACCCCAATCACTCCCAATGCCACATCTGTCTGAGCAGAAATTTCGGAAAAGAAAGACTATGGATCCAGTTCGAGATAAAGCTCAGCCAGTTCATGGCCCGGCCCATTATTAACACAACCTCGGGAGCATGTCTGCCTCTGCCACCAGGGGGCGCGGCGCCACAGTTTTTTCCATGCCAGCGGTGTGGACTGTCAGCCTCATCTTGGGTGGCAGGCGGATCAAAGGAGATAAGGAAACTGATATAGCACTGTTGGGGAGGGGAAGGTGGGGAATGGGAAATCCCCTTGTCTGTGGATAACACATGTTGTTCAAGTGCAAGGAGTGACTGACTTGGGTCTCTTTTGAATGTTATGTATCCTCAGAAGGTCTCCCTGTGGCACATCCTTTGGAGGAAGGCTTGTCAATTGTCTTTCATATCATCAGTGAGCGGAGAGATGGCCGCCCAATTCGATGCATGATCAGCTTCCTACAGAACCCCTCACCAGGCCCGCGACCTTGGGCATCAAGCAGCCAGCACAGGACTCACAAAGGGGCAAGGCCAGAATCAGACCTTGTCAGTTCCCTTAATTTAAGTCAACTTATCCTAACTACTTACACATGAGCAGATTCTTTTAATTGTTCTTTATTTTTTTGATTAGAAAAATAGGGCAGACTACTGCCAGAAAAACAATTCTAAAAATAAAAACCAATATAAAATAAAAAGTGAAAGTCCCTCCTTGGTCACTAACCTCCACCCCAAATCCAGAAATCCCACATTCAGAAGTAACTGTTGCTGACCATATATTTGTTTGTATATATAGGGCTTCCCAGGTGGCTCAGTGGTAGAGAGTCCACCTGCCAAAGTCGGAGACGCAGGAACAATTGGTTCAATCCCTGGGTCAGGAAGATCCCCTTGAGGAAGAAATGGCAACCCACTCCAGTATCCTTGCCTGAAAAATCCCATGGACAGAGGAGCCTGACAGGCTATAGTCCATGGGGTTGCAAAGAGTAAGACACCACGGAGTGACTGAGCACAAACATATGTATATATATTACATATATATATATATATATATTTATATTTATATTTATATTGGAGTATATTTATAGGGAGACATGCAAGTGATTTTGCTTAACTTGGCAGCACTGACAGTATACAGTTCATAATGCATCTTGCTTTTGCCAGTTAAGATGTATACTATATCACGGTAGTTGATCAGGATGAGGTTTTGAAACCTAAAATGACAAAACACTTTACAGATCTGTCATCATTCAAAACAGGATTCCTCAGCCTAACGTTTATATTTTTACAAAAATAGGCCCCCGGGTCCCTTCTTAGTGCCCCCTGCCACACTCAGCATCCTACCTGTCCTAGGTTACAGTGCCAAAAGAAAATGAGTGGGGTTTACATGTTTCTTTCTGAATGATTCTCATAGAATGAGAAAATTGCTCAAATTGTAATTGCTTATATTTTGTCTTTTGAGGATTTAAAATTGTAACCTCTTTATTATTTTCCCTGGATTATTTTTTATAGGATTTTTTTTTAACTTGTGAAACAGGAGAGATATTAATATATAGCCTTGGCTATAGAGTATGCTTGTGTCCTCTCTCTTTATCTCTTCCAAATATCCAAAACAAGTCAATTACAAATCTTGACAAAAAGGGACTGGGTAACATAGTTTCCCTTTTCAGATTTTTTTTTTTCTCTCCAGGATCCACCAAAAAGACGTGCTGCACTGTCCCTTCCTCCAGAATAGATCTCAAACTTTAACACAAATGTCTGAATGATGTAGATTTCCAGGCCTCCTGAATCCTTTTCCTCAGGATGGGCTGGGAGTGAACATTTCCAACAAGATCCCTTGTACTGTTTATATTCACTAATGCTGGATTGAAAGGACCCTCCATGGCCCTGCCTCGGAGTGGGTGGGGGGGGCATCTTTTCTGACGGCACCTTAATTCTACTTTCCTCTCATTTAGAAGAAAAAGGGGATGGAAAGAATGTACAAGTAATGGGTTGTGCTTTTTCCATGAAAAGCAGCCTCCAAATTTTATGCACATCATAGCAGTTCTTTTAGGCATGTCTTTAAAAGCTTGACCCCCAAGCTGATCTGCTGTCCTGCAATTACCCTTAGGTCGTGTAACCAGTTTGGAGGCAGCCCATGACTGTTTCAGTTTCAGCTGAAGTTCCTTCTAAAACGAGCCAGTCTGGGAGGTCACTTGTCTCACATCCAGAGGCAGTGGTGTGGTTATTCTTGGCTTACACTAAACTTGGAAGGGAGCCGAAGCATCAGGTAAAAAACAATGTACACATACGCAGCACAAAAAGAAACCATCACAGCCCTGCACACCCATGTGGGCAGATCCCATGGAAACAAGGCTGAGCAAAAGGAGCCTCTGCTCACTTGAAGTTCAAGGACAGGCACCCAAAACCCAGGAGAGAGAGCAGGGAAGAGGGGTTGCTGTCAGAGGGTTATTGTCCAGCGAGGGGTTGGCACGAGGGGGCCAGAGAATGCTCTGTGTCCTGATCTGGAACTCAAGTAGGTTGTCCACAAATAGGTAAAGTCATTGAGCTAAATGCTAAAGCCGTGTGCATGTTACTATACATAAATAATCCTCAGTAAATTTAAAAAAAGATGATGGACACCTATGATAATGACTCTGGTCCACAGGAGAAAAAAAACAAAAACTACAGTCACATCTATGAAGTGAGTCAAAAGCACCCAACAAACACTGACCTGAAAAAGAGTACAAAAATGGGAAACAATTATAAAATAACTGATTGCTGCACACCTGAAACTAATACAACTTGGTAAATCAATGATACTCCCATAAAAATTTTAAGAAAAGGGAAAAAAAAAACAACCAAGCAGCTTCTTTTAAGTTCATTTCTAACTGAATGTTTCAAGTCCTGTGAGTCCTAGATTGTGGACAGGGCCTTCCCACAGCCTCCTGATCTGCAGTGTGGACTCACACTCATCCAGGAGAGATGATTCTGTGCTCTTTGCAATGCCGACAGCCCAGGAAGCATCTAAAGGAACAGGTGTACCAGCCTTTTGATGAAGGTGTTGGACAAGAACGAGGAGGGGATCCACAGTCAGACCTTCCTCGGAGAAGCTGGGGTTTTGTTGGCCTCTGAGTGTCCGATGTGCAGGTGACATGTCTAGAGGTGAAGCGCAGCTGGTCCGGTCAGCCAGGGTCATGGTTGACCAGACCTGGCCTGAGACAGGAGCCCTGGGAGTCTGTGTCTAGGCTGGTGTGAACAGGTGTCATGTCCAAGGGCTGTCCCAGCTCACCCATGCACAAGTCACTCCCCTACTCCCCGCCATCCACCAGCACGTGGCCTTAGCGTGTTGAAGGTGTTCTATGAACATTTAGCGTCTTCCCTCTCTCTGCTCAGGCCTCGCCTCCCTGGGTGAGAGCCAGCCATGGCCAGGAGGCTGACTCGTCACCTCACCCAGCAAGTGGCTCCTCTGATTTCCTCCTCTCCTCCCCCACCCTCTTCCTTCCATCTCTCGCCGGTGGCTTGCCTGACAATTGGCACTGTCTGGTATTATGGAGACACAACCCTGCTTTGTTATGGAAACAGGTCTATCAGGTGTGGGCACTGTGGGCTAGGGAGAGCCTGGAGGCTGGGAGCAAGGCCAGTCGGCACAGAAGACCCTGGTGGCCCGGGCCTCGCTTCTGGGCTGATGTCTGTGCACGTGGTCCTTTGTGATCGAGGCAGATCTACGAGAAAGATGAACCACTTCTGTGCCCTCACATCCAGTCCAAAGTCTTTGCATGGAATTGCTTTTCGGAGGTTAAAAAGAGGGCATGGATGGTGACACCAGCACCCAGCCCAGGCTGCCAGGCTGTGGAAGGGCCTCATACCCACGCCTGTCTTGCTCCTGGAAGGGTGCAGGCCCTGGCACATCCTGGGGTGATGCTTCTCTTTCCAGGCAAGCGAATTCTCAGACGACTGTATCAGGGCCTGGAATTTTCTCCCCGAGGCTCTTTGCACCAAATATGAGATCAAATGCAAACAGATTAAGAAATAAAAGGCAAAAGCTGCCTCAGGATTGACGAGGATCCTGATGGTGAAAGATAAATAGCACATGAGTTATCTCAGCTCCGGCTCCTTCCAAAATCCAGTTTCTTGGGGGGAGCTTCTGAAGACTGGGAGAGGGCAGGTAGGACAAACACAGGTGGGAAGAGTCCACCGGGGTCTGTCTCCTTCCTCCAGGGTTGGCAGAGGATGTGAGAACCTGCTCTCCCACCCCAACTCCCAGTCCCAAAGGGTGCCCGCTGAGGTGGGGGGGGGGTAGGGGGCTTCCCTGACCCTAGAAGGAACCTTTCTTCCAGCCCAGGAGCCACCCCTGCTTGGGATGGGAGCCCATGACTGCAGGTGCTGTCAGGCTGGGGACTGGAAGAACCCATCCCTCTTCTTTGGGTGGCGGGCTTCTCAGGGGTCTTTGTCTCTGCTATACCCACTTTGCCATGAATTCTGTTGAAATGAAGATGAACTATAAAAAAATCACTTCAGCATGCCCAGGAAGGATTCTCCATCTCTGTCTCCCTCCCCGCTCTTTCCCCACCTGGCTTCCGCTCATTCATTCCGTGCAGGTGCCCAGGGCACTTCCAGGGCATTGCCAACTCCTGGTTCCTCCCCTCCGCCCTCCTGCTCTCTTCCTGACACCTCTCCCACCCCCATATTACACAATTCCTTGTGCCTGTGGCTCATTCCCTAACCCAATTAGTTCCAGATTCCCTCTCTCACTTTTATTTTTCCTATTTACATGAGAAAAAGCGAGTGTCTTTCCCCGGTTAGTTGAATAAAGGACAGCCTTCTGAGCTCCTAAACTTTCTTCTGAATGTTGATCGAGGTGAGGAGACTGGAGTGCCTCCCCTTCCCCAGGGACTTCCAGGGTTTAAATCCTCCTACCAGGGTTGGTACCTGGTAACCAACCGGAGCAGAAGGGTCAACAAGGGCAGGGTAGGAGAGGTGCTTCTGAGGAGATGCCAGGCTGAGAAAGGACTAAAAGAATGATACACCCAGGAAGAAAGAGCTCTCAGGCATGCTGGGTGAGATAACCTCTCTGTGGTGGGAAAGCCACCTAGGAAGGTCTGTTTTGTCCTTGGCCATGACCCGCTGTTCCCTGATGCTGTGGGGAGGGGTCATCTGGGGAGCCTGGGCTAGGAGGTCACCCATAGATGGGGTCACCCTTGGACTCTGTGGGTCCTCCCAGACCTAGGGGTGGAGAAACCCATACATAGGTCTCTCCTTCCTCCTCACCTCCATAGACGTCTGCAGCTGTATTCCCTGATAAGACCGGACTCTGTGGAGACAGTCACCCAGACCAACACCTGGGTTCCAGTGATCCTTTTTTGAACAAGCTCTTCCGTTTTCCCTTGTGACTCAGCTGGTAAAGAATCCGTCTGCAATGCGGGAGACCTGGGCTAAGATCCCTGGGTTGGGAAGATCCCCTGGAGAAGGGAAAGGCTACCCACTCCAGTATACTGGCCAGAATTCCATGCTCTGCAGTGTCCACAGAGTCGCAAAGAGTCGGACACGACTGAGCGAGTTTCACCTCACTTCACTTCTGTTTTCAGCCCCACCATAAAGGCATCTCTTTCTGGGTCTAGATCCGCCATCCTAGCCTCAGCCCAAGGGAGGCCCCAGGCACCGGGGAAGCTGGAAACCCCAGGAGGGAGGGTGGGTGTATCAGAGACCATCAAGTGTCCTCTCTAAAGGGCATCTTCTGCAAGGCTGCAGGTGAGGGCTGGAGCACAAGTGGAGCCCTGGGGAGAGCGAGGATTAGGGCTCTGACCTCAGGATTGGGAGCAGGCTGACTCTTCTCGGCGACAGGAAGGCCAGGAGCCTCGTCCCGGGGTTGGCCGGGGACTCTCGCGCCGCCCTGACCCTCTTCCCTCGGCCACAGCCCTGGAGGCTTGGTATAGGACTATCCCGAGTGAAGTGTGAGCCCGAGCCAGAGGGGGGAGCCAGGATACCCCCAGCGAGCCAAAGAGCCTCTTTCAGGTCCCGAGGCGGGCGCGCACGGGGATCCCCACAAGGGGGCGGAGGGAAACCCAGGAGGCCCGCGGGAGGAAGCTAGCCCGGCGGCCCGGCGCGCTCAGCCAAGCGCACTTGCGGCACCCATCTTCGGGCACAGGGCGGGGAGGGGGCGGGAGAGACCCTAGGCTCCTCAAAAAGTTTCGGGCGAACCCTTTTCCCCCCGGAGATCAGCCTTTCGGCGGCGCGTGTGTCCCGAGAGGGGGCCCTCCCGCGCCGGCACGAGCGCAGGACAGCGCGAGGGGTTCCCTCCCAGCCGCAGTCTCCTCCCCACGCGCCCCCTCTCCGCCGGGCTAGCCAGCGCCGCTGTCGGCCGCCCGCGATAGGAGCGGCCGCCGCCCGCCGGGGACCCCGCCGGGACCGCTGCCCTGCCGCGCGGAAAGGATGCCGTCGCCCGACCTGGAGGAGCGTGAGCGCCGCCGGAGCTGCCGGAGGGACCTTCTTCTGAGCCAGGTCTGCTTCCTGGCCCTGGTGGCGCTGCTGCTCTGGTCGCTGTCGAGCATGCGGGACCACGACGGTGAGTGCTCGCCGCCTGCCCCGAGTGGGCGCTGCGGCTCCGGCGGCGGCGCGGGGCGTCCAGGCCCGGGGACGCCCCCTGCCCCGGGCGGAGGGGCCCGGGAGGCGAGGACGGTGCGCGCGGGCGCGGGCGCGGGGCGGGGGTAGGACCGTGGCCGGCACGCTGGGCGCCTTGGCTGCCCTGGGAACCGTCACCTGTGCCTCCCGGCTCTGCCCCGCTTCCTGCCACGAGCTGGAGGGACTGAGGGAGGCAGCAGTGGGGACTCTTCTCCTAAACAGGTCCCCCGTGGGCAGTAATGAAGTTGTCCTGGTGAGCTTCGGCCCCTGCGCGCGTGACCACCTGTGCAACTCCTTGGCCTGTGGAGGGAGGGCAGGGAGAGGACTAGTTGAGCCGGGGACACAGTGCTCCGAACCGAGCAGGCGGGATGGACCGCCTGTTTCTTCGGAAGCTTCATCCCCCTCTTTCTAGAACAGGTGCCCGGGAACTAATGATAGGAAAAAAGTGCTGGTCCTCTGGCTAGATTTTTCGACTGGTTCTCCTCCACTGGCACCTCGCTGTGAACACGGATCCCTTTTGCAGACTTGCAACGCGGGATGAAGCCATTAGACTGGACCGCCGATGGTCTGTACCTTACTTTCAGGGTGCCCTGCGGAGCGCTTTCCCGGTACACAACTTCTGTCTTATTTTTGCCCTCGGCCTTTCTTGAGCTGACCTAGACCTGGTGAAGAAATCTGCTCAGCACAGTTGTTCACAGGAAGGAGTTTGGACCCTGGGTGTGCAGCTGTCAGAGAAACGGAGGAAAGGCTTGGAGGAATAGCTCTTGTAAAGCGGTTTTCTATCCTGGCTCCTCCAGTGGCACGCCTGGTAGGAAAACAGCTACGGAAATGCTCGGGAGGGAAAACAGTGACAGATACATGCTTCGGTGTTAAGATCCACGGAGCTCCAATACAAGGGGTTATGAAGTGCAGAAGGAAGGCATTTGGATAGTAATGCTCAAATATACTTAAGGGTGCAATCAATTAAAAAAGGAAACTCCCCCAATGGATTGTGCTCCTGCGTGGTGGGGAAAGTGGCTGGTGGGTCTTGGTTCAGGTCTTAGCAGACTTCAACATATATGGTAATAGGAGAGAGCCCTTCCAGGTTCTCAGCGGAGCCCTCGAGACTCCTGGTTCTCCATGTTTCTCTAGGATGCCAGACTGTCTGGCCATGGGGACTGACATCGGAAAGTGGACGGTGCCCAGTGATGTAGGCTGGTCCTCTCTCCAAGGGCAGTGTCTGACCTGCCAGAAGCAGTTCCTGGCCCTGTCTCAGGAAGAGGGTTTTCATTAACCCCCTTTTCATCATCGCAGCTTTGACAAGTGTAAAGCCAGTCCATACTATAGAAAGAGCCGTTTCAAGTCAGTTACACGCCAGCCATCTTCCTACAGGTCGGGGCTCTCAGGGCATAGACTTCCTACCACTTTCCAGGCTACAAAAGACATTTTTTTCTGAATGGGGAATGTGACCCAGATGGTTAAGTCCATCAGTGGCAGGGAGTTTCCTGGGCCTGGGGAAAGCTGGGATGTTCGGAGGAAGCGGGTGTCAGACACTCTGCAGACTTGAAGCTAGGTGACTAGACGTCATTTGGGGATGGACAGAAGTGTGCCTGCTAGGGACTCAGGTTTGGGTCCAGTGCACAGCCCTATCCTCCATACTTCCCCCAGTTGGTCTCTCTCCTTCTGCCTTTTCACCTTCTCTCTACCCCCTCCCATAAATGTGGGGCTTGAGAAGACCCCCACCCCAGCAACTTAAGATAACAGTGACATGTCAGTGGGAGGGGCACGTGTGCCATTGAGCCCCCTGGATGGCATGCGAGTTGTAATTCTTTCAAATCACTGTTTCTTCCACTAGATATTGATAATTTAATTACATGATGCACAGGAAGATTGTGCAAGGCCCAGATTTTTTGAAATAATTTTTAAGATACTAATTAACATGTGTGAATCTGCACGTGATTATTTTGCTTAAGGGATTGCCATTCAGCATACCTAACCATCTGAATAGTGACTTTTACTAACTTAGGAGCTCCTCTGCTTGAGGGTCTATTCAATATGAATAAAAAGTTTGGAATGTAGCCTTGTTTTGAAGACACTCTGACTTGGAGAGGCCAAGCGATTCACTTACAGTCACACAGCAGTTGAGAAACAGAGGAAAAGATGAACCTGAGGTGACCTGGCTCTTTGATCCCATCTCTGTCCCCCCATATCTGTGCCACTCTCTGGGTGCAGCTTTGTAATATTTATATAACCACATGGGGAGTGGTACCTTCATAATGATCAAAGGTGATACTTCTATTTAGTCACCTTGAAAACCACGCAGTGATTAAGCGTAACTTCTCAGAAGCCTGTTTTCTAACACATGTTGATTTTTCTTTCTTTTTTTTTTCAATAAAAAGGACAGTTCTTTTACCAAACCAAAACAGAGGTGTGTGGCAGGTATATTACATAATCTTGTATAACATTTCTGATGTATGGAATCGGAGATCCCTTTTAGGAACCCCTAACCAAACTCAGTATAGATTCTCTCCTCAGATGGGACAGGAACGTTGTTAGGCTTAAGTCAGGAAGAAGTAACACTGGAATAAAGGGAAATGTTAATTCTCACAACAACAAAAGCAGTAATAATGTTAACTGGAATTTGGCACGTTCTCCAGTGCCAGGCCCCGGGCCAAATACCTATCTATGCGTTGCTTCATTCAAGTTGTGCACACTCTTTGCAGATCCTTGAGCCTCCAGCGGTCAGTGCAGGAGGAAAGCCCAAGGTGCCCTATTTACTTGCCGATGAAGATCTCATTTTGTTGTTTTCACAGCCAATTGAATTAAGGGCTCCAATTTGCTAAGGCAGATTTTCTTTTTCTTTTCTTTTTTTTTTTTTTTGCAGTCTGAATGGATTACTTTGTATGTTTTGAGTGATTTAAAAGTGTTTAATTTTTATTTGGAGTCAGGAACCTGGTCCTTCTTTTCCAAAAGTGGTGTTGTCAAAACCCAGAGGTCCTTTGGAGGGAGTGGTTGAAGACATCCACTCTCTGAGATGTGTAGGGTGGTGAATGGTGATTAAGGAAAATTGTATATACGTATAAACTTGGAGCTACTCTTTGGCTCGGTTACTGTTGCTGCATAAGAGATCGCTCCAAAATAGTGGTGTGAAAGGACTCCTTTATGTTCTTACTCAGGGATCCTTTGTGGTAGGGACTTGGGCAGGGCCTGGTGGGGAGGGCTGACTTCTGTTCGGCTATGTCGGGGTCTCAGGTGGAGACATTCAAGGACTGGGTGACTTGACAGCTGGGCCTAAGTCGTCTGGAGGCAGCATCACTCCCAAGTGTGGTGCTGATGCCAGCTGTTAGCTGGGCCCTCAGCTGGGCTGTCACCCAGGACATCTACATGTGGCCTCTCCACATGCCTTTGTTTGAGCTTCCCCAGAACATGGCAGCTGGGGTCCAGGAGAACAAGGTGGATGTGCCTGGCCTTTTTATGTGTCAGCCTCAGGTGGTGTGTGTACCACTGCCGCTGTTTTCCGTTGATGAGGGAAGTGACAGATGTCAACCTGTGGTCACAGAGAGGGGACATAGATGCAACCACTTACTCAGTGGAGGAGTGTCAGGACATATAGAAAGGTGGGCATGTGTGGTGGGAGGTGCTGTTGTGGTTGTCTTCGGAAAAAAACAGGATCCAAAGGGATGATGACTTAGGAGTGATTGTACATATTTCCCAAGATGGTAAAGGCAGATACTATATATATGTGTACATGTA